ATGCCTTTGAATTATGGTGTTGGCAAAGAATATTAAATACACCATGGACTACCAGAAGAACAAACAAATCTGTCTTAGAGAAAGTACAGCCAGAATGTTCCTTAGAAGTGAGGATGGTGAGACTATGTATCACGTACTTTGGACACGTTATTAGGAGGGACCAGTCACTGGAGAAGGACATCGTGCTTGGTAAAGTAGAGGGTGAGCGAAAAAGAGGAAGACCCTCAACGAGATGGATTGACACAGTGGCTGCAACAATGGGCTCAAACTTAGCAACGATTGTGAGGATGGCGCAGCACCAGGCAGTGTTTTGTTCTGTTCTACAAAGGGTCGCTAAGAGTCAGAACCGACTTGACAGCACCTAACAACAATACTTATGGATAAAGAGCCCTGGTGGCGCATTGGTTATGTGCTCGGCTGCTAACTGAAAGATCAGCAGTTAGAATTCACCAGCTGCTCTGCAGGAGAAAGATGTGGCAGTCTGCTTCTGTAAAGATTACAGCCTTGGAAACCCTATGGGGCAGTTCTACTTTGTCCTATAGGGTCGCTATGAGTCGGAATTGACAGCAATGGGTTTGGTTTTTGGTTTTTACACCTATGGATGTAATCCTATTTGGAAATAGGGTTTTCTTTGCTACATTAATAAAGCCCTATCAGTGCAGGATGTGTCTTAAACCTAATAACTTTTGAACTATAAAAAGAGTAGATTAGGCACAGAGAGAAGCAAGCACAAATGAGAGAAAGATAGATGCAATGTGGAGATCGCCAAGGAACCAAGGAATGCTGGGTAGAGAGAAGCTGAGAGAAGGATTTTGCCCCAGAATGCACAGAGAGTGAGCCTTCCCCTAGAGCCAGTGCCCTGAATTCGGACTTTCAGCCTCCTAAACTGTGATAAAATATTTCTGTTCATTAAAGCCTTCTACTTGGGGTATTTCTGTAACAGCAGCACTTGGAAACTAAGACACATGGAAACACACAAAAGTGAAAATTTATTGATCTGTGCACATAAGATTAATATGCTTTATGCATTTCACTGTATATATGTTATACTTCAATTATTCGAGGTTTAAGGGAAAAAAAGTCCCTGTCTTTTAAAGAAAACTGAAATATTTTCAAACGAAATGATATGGTATCTGGAATATACTTCAAAATAATGGAGGGGGGGCTAAGGAAAGGAGATGAGATATGGAGGAAATAAGGATGAATGCCAAACAAAGTCCTACAGGGAGGGGGTTTAGTGCCCAGGTGACCTATCTTAAGAGGATATTTTAGCCCCCTTATCCCAAGGGAGACACATGGGTCACAGAGAGGCTGCTAGAATGAGCTGGGAACCAGAAATCAGGAGACCTGGACTCCAGGCTTGTTCTGCCATGGCTTTGGGACCTGGCCTAAACATGGTTCATTCATCCATCTATTCCACAAATATGTATTAAGTGCCTGGTATGTGCCAGCCTCTGTGCTAAGCACTGGGAACCCTGATGTAAAGATTCAGTCCAGGCTTTGGAGAGCTCCCAGCCTGGTGGGAAGGTGAACAACAAGCAGCAGGTTACAGAGAACAGTCTGCGTGAAGGCTGGGCTGGCTAGGGGAGGGGACGTTTCCCAGCGCCCAAGTGAATCCTCAGGACAGGTGGGAGTGAGCCAGGAGTGCAGAACCTCAGAGACCAGAGAAACAGGCAGAAACTGCAAAGAGCTCCATGGGGCTGTTCACAGATTGAAAGGAAATGGTAGGAAGAAAGAGGGCAAGCACCTGACTAAGCCACTCTGGAATCCTGGTCTCCTCTACATGGCACCCTGGGCCTCAGTCTTCTCATCCTTAAGGTGAGTGGCTGGACTTCTCAGGTCCTTTCCAGTTCAAAGTAATTTAAAGGCTCATTGTTGAGGAAGCTGGGACTGAAGTTTTCAGCTACCCACCTCCAGCCCAGGTGGCTCCTACTCACGGGGAACTCGGTCTACACATCCTCCCCATTATCTCATTGGAAGTGAGGGCCCCTGTGGACAGGGGAGCAGCAACTTGTGCCCACTGATGTGTGGATGGGTTGGTTCCAGGCAGGGCGGAGGGCTGGAAAATAAGGACTGGCCTGACTGGCTTGTTATCTATCCCGTGCTCGCCTTGACAGGAGAAAGACAGCCTCCCAGGCTGCCAACTGGGATTTCTGGTTCCCAGATGCAGTCTGAATGTCTGTCTATGGGTGTCTGTTTGGTGCACTGTTCATGTTTGTCAGTCCCAGGCCCATCGTTTTCGGATCTGGCCCTTTGCACCCAGGTGTCCACTGCTCTGTCACCAATTCTATCTGTTCCCTGGTCAGCTCTGCTCCAGCTGCCCTCTCTGAGGCCTGTCTAATGGCTGTCCTCTCGCTCTGCTGCCCCTTTCCCACCAGCTGCGCCTGGCCTGTCCCTGCAGCCTCCTCTTCGGGTCAGGCTTCCGAAGAAGGGAGGAGGCCCCGGTTCCGGAGACGCTGCCCTCACATGCTTTCCCGGCTGCCCCTCCTCCGGGCCCGCATCGATGCAGCCAAGCCTGTTCCTCTTCCCGATTGCGACAGGCCAGACTCAGCTCCCAGCGCTCCCTGACCCCGCCCCGCGGCCGGCTCACTCCACTCCCACTTCCTGAGCCCAGCGGCGGAGCCCTGGAGCCCAGGCCCGGCCGCTCCCGGCCCCCGGGGGCACGTCAGCCCCGTGTCCGGAGTCCCGTCCCGGCCCCTGGGCTCAGGAAGCTGCCGCCACCGCTGCCCAGGGCATCCTGGCCTCCCACCTTCCTCCCAGGCCTCCCTGTCTGGCTGATCGACCAACTGGCCGCCATGCGCCTGCCTTGGGCCGCCTCCCCCCGTGGCCTGGCCTGGGGGCCACTCTTGCTGGGACTCTGCGGGCTCCTGGCTGCGTTCCAGCCCCAACTGGTGAGGGGGCCTTTCAGGTGGGGTGGGGGCGGATGAGGGTAAGCAAGAGGGGTCTTGGCTGCCCTTCTCTAATTCCTCTGCCTTCCCAAACTGGTCTCTAAGTTCTTCTTCCCCCACCTCCACCGCCCCTCTTAAAGGTACCCCCATACCACTCGGAGAACCAGACCTGCCAGGACCAGGAAAAGGAGTTCTACCAGCCCAATCATCGGATCTGCTGCTCTGGCTGCCCCCCAGGTGAGATGCAATGGCTGGAGGAAGCCTGGAACAGGGAGATGGGTTTCAGGGGGCTCCAGCCCCTTCGCTGCCTGTCTCCCCAGGAACACTATCTGGCAGAGACAGTGAGAATCACTGGCCATCCCTCATATGTAGGCACCGAGATTTGCCATCTTCACCCAGCCCCTCACGGAGTGTTTATCTCAATGAGTGTAGCTGGAAGGCTATCAGGAGGAGGCCCACAGAGGCTAAGGGACAACTCAGAAGTCACACAGCAAGTGGTAGAGGTGAGAGTTGAATCCTGGTCTCCTGACACTCCTGCTGCCCCACTTGTACCCTAGGCACCTTTGTCACAACTCAATGTAGCCGCACCCAGGACACAGCTTGCTCCCCATGCGCCAAGAATTCCTACAACGAGCACTGGAACTACCTCACCAAATGTCAGCTGTGCCGCCCCTGTGACGCAGGTAAGTGGGATGTGCCTGGGGAGGGCTGGAATCTCCTGGAGCACAGCCCCTCCACTGAGCTCTCCTGTCTCCCCACCAGTGATGGGCTTTGAGGAGATCGTGCCTTGCACTAGGATACAGGAGACTCAGTGCCGCTGTCAGCCAGGAATGTTCTGTGCCCACCGGGATTCCGAGTGTACACACTGTGAGCCACTCTCTAACTGCCCGCCTGGCACTGAAGCTGAGCTCAAAGGTCAGAGGTCACTGAAGGCATAGGGCAAGAAGGAAGCTATCTTGAGTGGGAGCAGGGAGCATGGTACTATGCCCATGGTGATGCCCCAAGTAGTTCTCTTTGGCATAAAATGCTTCTTCTTACTCCATGGGAGAGGCTCACAGAGGGGTTTTGCAGAGAAATGGAACTGGGACAGGTGCAGCGGCCTCAGGAGGGGCAAGCTTGGGCAAATGGTAGGCATTTCCGGATGGGTCAAAGATCAGGGTGGGTGAGAGCTACAGAACAGGGTGGATGGGCAAGGAGGAGGCCATCCAATGGGCATAAAGGAAGATTCCCTTCTGCCCGCTCACTCTGGCCGCCCCTGCCTTTCTCTTGACAGGTGAAGACAGGGAGACTGACAACAACTGTGTCCCCTGCAAGGCAGGGCACTTCCAGAGCACCTCCTCCCCCAGCGCCCGCTGCCAGCCCCACACGAGGTTGAGTATGCCCTGCCCCTTCTCCCTTACCTCCCCTGACCCCCAAGAAGCCCCACCTGCTTACCCCACCCCCTTCAATGCTTGACTCCTCACCTCACCTTACTACTTCCAGTCCCCTATGCCCACTTGAGTTGAGTCCCTATGTCCATTGGTGGACAGGAGCATGAAGAGGTCATGGGCCTCTCTCCCCTCCACAGGTGTGAGGACCAGGGCCTGGTGGAGGCAGCTCCAGGCACTGCTCAGAATGACACTAGCTGCAGGAATCCATCAAAGCCACTGCCAGGTGAGGGGCCAGGGCTGAGGGGCACAAGGGCTGTCTGGTCTGGGAAAATACTTCTACTTCTTTCAGGCCTGAACTCTCCCCATATAAAAAAATGAGGAAAAGATGAATCCTTCCCTCCCAGGATTGGGGGCAAGAAGAAAAGTTCCTTAAAGAGAAATTGTGGAGAACGTCTAAGCTAATTTATATACACACACATATACACACATGCACATATATATACACACTTTTAAAGTTATATATTATACATATAACTTATAAGCTACATATAATATTATGCCAAAGGATACTCTCACACTGAGATATAATTATAACTGATTACCTTCATCATTTTGGACATGACACCATCATATATAATCCATTCACTGCCTTGAATATCTCTTTATTAAATTGCATACTTTCATCGTTATAGAGATGATCTCACCTTTGACTCTGTCTTGATTATTTCTGTGGACTGACTGGTTTCCTAGTCAAGTAGATGATTTCAGGATGTTTCTAATCTAATGACTGTAATCGTTATTAATTGGGCAGAGTTTACTTTATTAACTTTTTTAACTTGCCAAATATTTATAATTGCAGCTTCCATTTATGGAGAGCTAATGTGTCAGGCACTCTGTGAAACACTTTACATTCACTAACTCTTCTCTTACTGATCCTATAAAGTGGGTCCTATTATTATCCTCATTGACCAGATGAGGAAACAAACTCAGAGGTTAAGTGACTTGCCCAAGATCACCCAGGTGGTAACTGGTGTTACTAAGACTGTACTCAGGTCTTTCTTACTCCAAGCCCATACTATAATGCCTGCTCACTGTAGAAAAGTAGAAAATTCAGATAAGCAAAATTAAAAGTCACCACAGTACCACCACCTAGGGTATGCACTCTTAACATTTTGCTATATATCCTCCCAGACATTATTCTGTGCATGTCAACACATCTTTTTTTTTTTTTCTCCTCTAAAAGTGGGGTCATTTTAGTGCTGTGTAACCTGATTTTTCATTCAACACTATATCATAAATATTTCTCCACGTCCTCTTATTACTGTTTAACTACCTATCAGATACTGCCAGCATTTTATACCTGGAATTCTAGAGAATATGTAAGCTAATCCCTCATTTTGTGTATGAAAAACCTGATGCCTAGAGAAGTGAAGTGACAAAAAGTTACACAGCTGGGCAGGAACCCAGGAGTCCTAACTCCTACTCCAATTTCTTCCTGTGCCTCCCATTCTGTTCCCCTTTGGGCCACGGATTTAGGTGGATCAGAAAGGGCACAACTCCTAGTATGCCAATGTCCAAGTCCTCCTGACTTCCCCAGGGTGGCTGAGGGGCATTATTGACTCCATGCTATAGATGTGGCAGTGCTGACACCCACAGAAGAACAGAAATTATCCACTGCTACAATCAGGGCCTGAGAACTCTCAGCCTCCCCCTCTCAGCTCCTCCTGGAGCCTGCCCTGAGCAAGGGGATGAAACTCTTGCAACCCCAACTCTCACAGGCAGAGTTCAGGAGCAAGGCTCCCCCATGCTCCCACCCCTGTAAACACTCCCACAGGGAGAGAAGGGCAGCCCCAAATCTTTCTACAGTAGCCCCTCTGGAAAATAACAAGTCCACAGACAAGCTGCTCTACTCCATAGACTGAGTCTGTTCACAATCCCGAGCTCCACCCTTCCTATACTGCCTCCTGCCCCCATTTCCAGCCCTTCAAAACTGCACAATCTCCTGTCCCTCACCCACAAGACTGCCCCAGTCCCTGGTCCCCAGGCAGGAGGGCACCTGCACCACCCCAAACGTCTCCAGGATGGAATCTCTCCTGGTTGTCAGATGGTCTCTCCAAGTCCAGTTAGTTCGCCTTATCTGTAATTTAAGGGAGGTTTCTCTAATTCTGCCTCTAGGAACAGTAGTGGGGCTAGAAGAAAAAAAAAACTGCTCGCCCTTTCTCTGTCTCAGTTGTCCAGAGAACTGGAAAACTCTTCCTTAACTCCTTTCCTGCCTTTCTCGGGGTTATCATACCCTCTCCTGTCTGCATCCCCGCAGGAACTATGTTGGTGCTGGCCGTCCTGCTGCCACTCGTCTCCCTCCTGCTCCTCACCACCGTCCTCGCCTGCACCTGGAAGAGCCACCCCTCTCTCTGCAGAAAGCTGGGTAGGAAGCAGCCAGTTGCAGGCAGGGGGCAGGCTGGGCCCTCTGTCCCCATATGGATGGGATGGGAGAAAGGAGGGAATAGTCAACTTCCTTGGTGCCAACTCTTCTGCCCTTCCCATACCCTCAAGACTCCCAGTGCCTGCCCCCAACACAGACATTATCATCATCTTCATGCAACCCCTCATTCTGGGGCTAGAGATAAGGGTAATGATGGCCTGTTCCTTCTGGGACCCCAGGGTAGGGGTGGAGTGTGGAGAGTGAAAGGCTGGAATCCGAGGCTTGCTGGAAGTCCTACACCCATTTCATTTTCTGTTGCAGGATTCCTGCTCAAGAGGCATCCAGAGGTAATGGGGGCAGCTGAGAAGGCAGCAAAGAGGGGCAGAGGGTGATGGGGGAGCAAGGTGGAGGAAGGCAGGCAAACAGAGTGCAGACTTCATGTGTTCAACATTCATTCATTCAACTAATAATTTATTGAGTACACCATGTGCCAGGCACTGTTCTAGGCACTGGGGATACAGCAGGGAGCTAAACAAACTACTTGCCCTCCTGGAGTTTACATTATAGTGGAACAAGAATAAAGTTAAACAAATATATATATATATATATATATATATTTATTTATTTATATCAATCAGGTGGTGGTAATTGCTAAATAAAGCAAGGTAGAAGATGGGGAGTGACTGTGGCAGAGGATAGGGTATGTTGTTTTAGACAAAGTGGACACAGAAGGCCTCTCTGATAAGCTGATATTTAAGCACAGACCTGAAGAAGTGAGGGAGCCAGCCATGAGGGTATCTGGGGGAAAAGTGCAAAGGCCCTGAGGCAGAGAGCACAGTGAGGGCCGGAGGAGAGCAATGAGCTGCCTAAGCATGGGGTGGGGTGTGGGAATTAAAGAAAGATGCCATCTGGGACCCATGTCATTCGTTGGTTTTCTGCCTCTCTCCTGCAGGGAGGGGACACCAATGCTGATGCAAGCTGGGAGCCTCAGAGAACCAACCCACATTTCCCTGACCTGGTAGAGCCACTTCTGCCCAACTCTGGAGACTTGCCACCAGCCTCTGCCAGGCACCCAACAACTCCAGGGTTGGAGGAGGAGGTGCTACAACAGCGGAGTCCTCCGGGTCAAGCCAGGGAGCTTGAGGCTGAGCTCGGGGAGCAGGGCCCAGTGGCCCATGGTGAGCCTGGGGCAGGCTGGCAGTGAGAAGGGGGTGTGTGGAAGGATGGGGAGGGAGGGATGGGTGGCAGGGAGAGTATGGAGCAAACAGAAAAGAAAACACTAAAACAGGCAAGACAGAGACCCCGACCACCAGCCAGAGTGTCACAGCTAGAGAGAAGGGAAGAGACCCAAAAACCCAGAAACAGAGAAATAAATATGGAGCTCAAGAAAACAATAGCAATGGCAGAGAGCACAGGGAAGGACGGGGAGAAGGCTGAAGAATAAGGGCATGCAGGACACTGGGGGCCTTATGCTGGGAGCACACAGGCCTTTCTTCCTCAGCGAGCTGTCAGCCTCTCTCACTCTGCCTCTGTTCCCACAGGTACCAATGGTATTCATGTTACCGGCGGGTCTATGACTGTCACTGGCAATATCTACATCTACAATGGGCCAGTACTTGGGGGAGCACGGGGCCCTGGAGACCCTCCAGTTCCCCCAGAGCCTCCATATCCCATCCCAGAAGAAGGTGCCCCTGGCCTTCCTGGCCTCTCTACCCCCCACCAGGAAGATGGTAAAGCTTGGCACCTGGCTGAGACGGAGACACTGGGGTGCCATGCCCTCTGATGGGGTCAAGGAGCCAATTTGTCACTCACGCTTGTTGGTGTCTTGGAAAAGAAGAAGAAAGGAGGCACAGGGCACCTTATCCCCTGAGGCTGGCTACCCCATACAGGATTCACAGGGGTCCTGCATAGGGCCCCTGAGAGGCAGAGTCCTGTGGGGCCGGGCCTCAGACACTCTTGAGAGCAGTGTCAGACACTGGCTGGGAACAGTGCCCTGCACAGGACTAGCGCCCTGCACAGGACTCTCACCACCACTCGGCAGACCTGAGCCCTCACTGCAGACCCACATGCCCACTGGGCTGCACCAGCTCAGCTTCAGGCCCTGACAGGGCAGATGTGCCAACTGCTGCCACATGGCACTCTACACCCTAAGCACAGAGGCCAGAGCATGGTCACTTGCAAGGACATCACCAGGACTTCTAAAGGATTTGTGGTGCTCATCCCCAAGCTTCAGAGTCCCCGTGAGGGCCCACACTGTGCGTGGACTGAGGTACCCCTGATATGCAGGGGTGGGTATATGGAGGACCTCCATTGCTGGACTCCTGGAGGGGAGGAAAGGGAGTCATTAAGAAACTGGGGGTTTGGGTAGGTTTACTCTGGGAGAGTTTTGTAGGGGGAGGAAATGGCAAGTGTATTTATAAATTGTAACTACATGCAAATAAAGAGGAGCTTGTGACCCAGATAATTTATTTTTTTGGGATTTATATAGAAACACTGTTCCATTGGGGCAATGTCAAAGGCAAAGGTCAAGACGTTAAAATATAATCTAACAAAGGCATTTCTATGAGGGACTGGTATATGTAGTTCAGGTAATAATATTGGCTGTTGATAACTGGCAATGTGCCAGGCAGTGCTTTAAGTGCTTTACAATATTAATTTATTTAATCTTCACAACAACACCATTTTATAGATGAGGAAACTGAGGCACAGGGAGAGTAAGTAACTTGCCCAATTCAGCTGCAAATGGCAAAGCTGGGATCTGACTCCAGAGGCCTCTTGGATTAAAAAGCTTCATATGCCATGCCCTTACAGAATGTCTTTGAATAGGCAGAATGGGCTGACTGTCTCTAATAATTAGATCTCTTGCGTGTTTCACAGGCCTTAAGTCTCAGTCAGTTCTTAAACCTCCAGCCACAATGCAGAAGACGTGCAATTCAGACATAAAATGCGAGAGGCCAAAGTTCAACATTGTGTTGGTGAAGTTTAAAATCTAGACCAGCCTCCGTCACCTCAGAAGGCGTGCTTATGATTTTTCCTCTTTTTGTTTTTTCCCCAAAAAGAACTTTTTCTCTCTCCAATCTCTCCTATTGGTAAATGTTTGAGCCCCCTAGAGTTGATCTATTGTGCAACCTGGTAGAGATTATCTTTGCTTGACAGATTGTTAGAGGCGCTGCTGCCCGCTGATCGCTCCTTCCATAAAAGGCCACTGTTGTGGGTCTGATTTTAAGACCTCTGCTGCTAGGGCTCATCAAGATGGTGTGGCTGCAAAACACATACCCCAGGCTTTGTCTGATCCAACTGAGTAGACAGGTTATTTAAGGTTGACCATGAAAGTATTTGATCCAGCTTCCTTTTGAGACTAAATAATGCTGAGCTATATCTTTGAGGAGAGTTAAATCCTCCTGCCCCTGCAGTATGCTAGAGCCAGACAACATGAATCCTTAATAATTGTTCCAATGTACTCAGATAAAAAAACAAATCTTATATATCTTTCAATGAAATAAAAGGAGGAAAAACATTTTAAACAGTGCTTAACGCACAGCCCTATGGGACACCATTTAAATTTCAGACTATACCTGCCCTTGCTTATTTTCCCAGGGCTGAGTTAATACAGCTACAAGACACATTAACAGAGCACACTCTATACTGAGGGGAGCATCTGTCTAGAAGGAAAAGATAGAAAATCAGTGAAGACTGCAAACAGCCTCTTGACTGTTGTCTTCAAAAGATGGAAGAGGATACAATAGTAGCTGATAATGGGTAATTAAGTCTGAATCCAGGTAGTCCCTATATTATGTTTGAGAACCAGTGTTGTACCATACATATGGAGGAGAAAGCCAACACTGAGTCCAACCAAATCAACATGGATGTGGGGACAGTAGTGAGAAGGCTAAGGTTCAGTCCAGGAGAGAGATGGCCGCGATTGGGTGTACCGTGGTGGCAGTGGGAGGTGGGGGGTGGGTATGTAGTCCTGGAGTAATTCAGAATGTTCTCTTTCAAAAGATGAAGTGGTTTACACTGACAGCTGTGACAGACCCTTTCTGCTGAGTACCCAATAGAAGTCCTCATCTTTCGTAGGAACAGAAGCCGATTTCTGTACTAGGGCATAAAAAAAAAAAAAAACCTAAACCCATTGTCACTGAGTCAATTCCGACTCATAGCAGCCCTATAGGACAGAGTAGAACTGCCCTATACGGTTTCCAAGGATCGGCTGGTTGATTTAAAATGCCAACCTTTTGGTTAGCAGCCATAGCTCTTAACCACTACACCACCAGGGTTTCCTACTAGGGCATAGATTCCATGGTATCAGGAGGGGAGGCCCCACCCCAGTCCCAGGGGCCAGTAAATCCATCCCCCTTTGCCAGGAATTGGTTTAGGATGGCCATGGGATCCATTTCTGGCCACTGAAATGTACAGGGAAGTATTCCTTCCCAGGATAATAAACAGTGTCACTAAGAGAAAGTTTTTGCCCTTCTTTCTTGTTTGCGGGATATTTGTGTGAGGGCATGATGCCGGAGCTGTGGCAGCTATTTTGCCATCATGAAGGAATAAAAAGCCAATCTTCTGAGTATAGAGGACCTGGAAAAAGAGGAAGAACTTACTTATGGGATTCTGTTTACCAGGAAAAAACAATTTGGCATTTGTATAAATGACAGTAAGTCAGGTTTTCTTTTTCCTTTTTAGCTTTAATTTTGTTTCCTCTTTTGTGATAGGTGGTTTATTCACATGGTTCAAAATTCAAAAAATATCAGAAATGAACAGTGAAATGTCTCTCTTCCACTTCTGTCTCTCAGGCACGAGGTCCCCCCCAGAAGTAACCAATGTTACTGTTTCTGGAATTTTGCCAGAGATAATTCATGTGTATTCAAGCAAATATACATATATATATTCCTTTCCTTTTTTCCACAAATGGTAGCACACTCTAAATATATCCTTCCCCTTGCCTTTTTCATTTATCAAAATAGCTTGGCCATAATTCCTATCATATAAAAAAATTAAATAAAACCTTCCTCATTAATTTTTATATCTACATAGTATTCCATTACATGGCTGTACCATTTAACTTGATCCCTTCTGAGGATTTTTAATTCATTTCTAATCTTTAATATTACAAACAATTCTTCAACAATAATCTATGTCATTTTGCACATGTGGGAGTATAACTATAGAAAAATTTGCTAGAAATAAAATTGCTGGGTCAAAGCGTACATACATTTTATGTTTTGATAAATATTGCCAATTGCCCTCCATAGAGATTATCAGCAGTTTTTTTGAGTGCCCATTTCCATACACAAACACCAAAATTTGTGTGTTATCAAACATTTTGATCTTTGCCAATCTGAAAGGTTAAAAATGTTATCTCAGTATAATTTTTATTTGCATTTCTTATTGTGAGTGAAGTTAAGCTAATTTTCATTTTTGAGTCATTTGTAATTCATTTATGTCTTTTCATAACTTCCTATTTTTCTATCAGACAATTTCCAAATGTAATCCTGTTATCTCAAAGTCATTTACTGAGTAATTCTTTTCTTCACTAATTTTAAACACTACTATTATCATAAACCAAATTTGCATATGAATTTGAGTATGTTCCTAGACCTTCTATTCCTTTCCATTGGTCTATCTTTTCAATTTGCCAGCATCACAGTCTTGTTTTTGCGTTGTATTTTAATATCTACTAGGACTAGAAACTCCTTTTACTCTTCTTTTTCCAAATTGTCCTAGCTATATTTTCTTCTTTTTTCCACATGAATTTTAGAATCATCTTGTCTAGTCTCAAAAAAAAAAAAAAAAAAAAACTCTTACTGGCATTTGTATTGAATTTATAGATGAGTTAGGGAGAATTGATATCTTGCATTGTCTTCCTTTACAGAACATGGTATAGTCTACAATTTGTTTATTGTTTCTGTGTCCCTCAAGGTTCCTCAATGGCACAGTTTGTGCTCAGCTGCTAACCTAAAGGTTGGTGGTTCAAACCCACCCAGTGATACCACAGAAGATAGGGCTGGTGATCTGCTTCCATTAATATTACAACCAAGAAAACCCTATGGAGCTTAGTTCTACTCTGTAATACGTGGGGTCACCATGAGTCAGAATTGATTCGACAGTAACTAACAACAACTTTATGTCCCTTAATAGCATTTTAATGTTTTCTTCATATAGACATTGGGCATTTCTTGTTAAGTTTATTCCTTGGGTGTTTTGTCTTTGTAAGTGCTATAGAAATGGAATCTTTTCTATCTTATGATCTTTTCACTCAGCTACCTACGGCATTCTTATCTGTAGTAGTTTTTCAATTGATTCTCTTAGGTTGTCACCTATAAATAATGTAAAAATAATGTAAAATCTATCTCTGTTGTCTAATGTTTATACTTCTAATTTTTTAGTCTCATCTAAATAGATTGCCTAGTACCACCAGAACAATGTTAAATAGTAATGCCATTAGTATACATCTCTATCTTGATGATCCTGGTTTTAACGGAAATGCATTTAGTGTTTCCTCATTAAACAGGAGTTGAAATAGATATATTTCTTTTATTGTGCTAAGGAAGTATCCATCTCTTACTATTTCATTGAGTTTCATAATCAACAGTGGAGACTACGTTGTTTTTTTTTATTGTACTTCAGGTAAAGGTTTACAGAACAAATAGTTTCTTATTAAACAGTAGTACACATATTGTTTTAGGACATTGGTTAACAACCCCACGACATGTCAACCCTCTCCCTTCTCGACCTTTTTTTTTTTTTTTGGGTGAAAATATCCATAGCCAAAGATACACCATTTCAAAAATTTCTACATGCACAGTTCAGTGACATCGACTACGCTCTTCC